CCTATGACCGGTTTATTGGGAACCACATAATTATTATAACGTTCTATTTTATTTTTAAATTAAAAGATAACTTAAAAAATAAATGATGGGTCTCTTGAGGCAAAGAAGGCCCAGGTGATACCCACTGGCGCCACACCCATCAGCAACTCTCTCTCTCTCCCAACCCCCTTATAAATAGTAACCCACCATTCTCATTCTCATCATTAATCTCAATACCCACTGCTCTTGACTTTGTTCTCTCTTTTCTTTGTGTGACCAAAAGCAAAACTCAAAGAAAAGAAGAGATTTTCTTTAAGTACTTTAATCCCAAGTTTCTTGTACTTTCAATGGCCACTGCTACAGCTTCACCTCCACAGTTCTTCTGGGATGAGAAGTGGAAGCTGTCAAAGAAAGAAAGCTTCTCAAGAAGTCGTTCTTCAACTTCTTCTTTCATGAGGAATTCATCACATCGAAGGAGTTCTTTTACAAGGAAGTGTGCTAGCCTTGTGAAGGAACAGAGAGCCAAGTTTTACATCATGAGGCGCTGTGTCACCATGCTCATCTGTTGGCGTGATTCTTGAAGAGAAAGAAATGAAGAGTTAAGACTCTTTCTTTCTGCGAGATTGTTAATGGGTTTGCTCTAGAAACCCTAATTAAAGGTTTTCCAGCGTCCGAGGAGGAAGAGAAAGAGAAAGATACTGTATCAACATGTACATCTTTTCTTTTTTCTGGGTTTCGATTTTTTCGGGTCCGAATCTCCATTGAAGGAGGCGAGGGTTCTTGATGTAACTGTTACCGTTACTGTTAGTGAGACTAGAAGAGATATGCAAGATTTATAAGAAAATGATTGATCAATCGATTTTTCCCCACTCATATATTGATTAATTTTTCTCCTGGGTTTTGTTGTTCTTGATGATTAATTCGATGGATCTGTCTTTGTCCAACTATCTATAGAGAGAGAGAGAGAGAGAGAGAGAGAGATTCCATTCAACCATTGCCCATGCAGAAGTGTGTGGATCCGGTGAGCTTGGCTGACGCAGATAATATTGTAGTATAAAATAAGTAGTCAAACATCACCGAGAGTCTTTTGGAATTATTTTTTTCGAGGATAATGATAATAATCCAAAAATACTGTTGTTTTTTAGGTTTTACCAGGAGTAACCGTGCTTTTAGACACGCTTCGATTATTTTGAGAGGGTTGATGTTATTTAATGTGAATGGTTTTGATAGGGATGTTGGTGATTGTTGAATGAATTTATTTATAATCGTCAAATAAATTTATTAAAATTTTATCTTATTTTATATTATAAATTGTTACTGTCTATGGAATGAATTCAAATTTAATTTTAATTGATTCGAATTTTAAAAATTTTAATCTAAATACTCTTGAATTTAAAAAATTTTAATCTAAATATTCGATTGGTTTTGGTTTTAATTTTATTTTTTCTATATAATCTATGGAGAATTATGATTTTTATCTAAATAATTTAATTAGAGTTAAATATTAATGAATTATATTTGAACTTTAATTTAATTTTATCAAATAATCACACAATTTAATTTTATATTATTTGACTCAAAATCTCAGTGTGTATTGATATATAAGAATTTGAAATCACAAAGAAACATGATATAACAAATTTGTGTTTGAATTCACATAATCAATTAAAAGTAACAGTTTCCATTTTAGATCAAAATAAGACCAAAAAAAAAATAATTTTGACCCGATTCATTTGAATAAGTTAAGATTAAAACCCGATTCATTTGTCATGCCTAATTTCTAGACGTGGGATCAACAAAGAGGGGCAATGGCTACCCAATTGATTGGCTGCTTGTCCTCTTCTGTTCTTTAGCCTACCGTTGACAAATAACTTCAATTTAAAATCTCAAACTCCTAATTGCTCTTTTTAGTACAATTTTTTTTTTTATTTAACGGTTAAGGGTGTTTGAATTAATATATACACATCTCGACTAATCTTCTCTCCAGTCTACTCAAAAATAGAATATTAATGAGAGATAAATAATTCATTGACTGACCCTAAAAAATTATCAAAATTTAAATTTAAGATATCTAGATTTAGAACTTGTACTTATTATTACTTGAACAATCTCTTGGATCTTAATTTGAAAATTCAATTAAGAGTTTAATGCAATAAAATTATTGAATTAATTATGATTTAAATAATAAATAAAGTTTATTTTTAATCTAATAATTATAATTAATCAAATTAAGTGTTCAAATTAAATTTATTTAACATTTTCCGTTTTCAAATGGTTCAAAAGAGCAGCGACGTGAAACGCCTATGCGCATATACTCCACGTGGCATCTCTAGTTGTCTCTGAAACCTTCTAGTCCGTTGGTCACATGGCCAATGTCTGGAGGACCCACCCGCACATGGAGGTCTCATTGTGGTGGGTCCCTTTTTGTTTTTCAATTTGATTATTTAACAAGTTTTTTTTTTTGGCTTTTTCTTCAACATTTGAGAATTATGCTTAAGCAACTAGGAAGTGAACAAGAGAGGGCTGGGCTAGGCCTGGAAATAAGTTGGGTATTTAATTATATTTCTGTTATAATTATTTAATCTTTTTTTATCTATTTATAATGAGTGAGTTCTTATTGTATTTAATTAAGTTCATACGAATCCACCTATTTGATGAATTAAACGAATTCATGAATCAAACTCACTAATGTTAAATTTGAATTTGTTAATTTTATGTCACATGTTTTAGTCAGATCCGCGTCTTATATTTGTAGTAGCCTATAAAATGAAAACATGTGTTCTCATCACATAAGGACAAATGGCAAGGCTAAAGTAGGACCACAAGTTGTGTCTATGCCCTCGAATGGCATCGGAGGATGTACCCCTAGCCTCGAGGAATGAGTCCAAGCTATATTGAAGGAGACGTTGCATCTATCTAATTAATGCTCGAGCCCCCTGACGTGTAGTGAGTGGCCATTGGTATAGTTGCTATTAAGGCAGTTATAAGTGAGCATAATTGTCACATACGGCATTGAACCGGCATAGAGGCAGACACATGCAGCTTGTAGGGCAGCCTCAACTGCCCTAGTACGTGTGTGCTATAAATACTTTTATTATTTGTTCCTATAGTACACACAACAAACATGTTGTGTGTACTATATGTTCTTATAGTACACACAACAAACATGTCTGAGATAGACATTTCGGCGAGTACGAGAATACTCACTAACTCTAACTATCCGGGAAATTTTTTACTCACCGATTGGTTTTGGCAGTTAATAGAAAATTCAAGTCTTTTTATTCCATCCATCTATCTTACTTATCTTTTTGAGTACACTGGTTTCAAACATATGTGTCGGCCTCTTTAACTCCCTACTTGCAATGTTTAAAATTATCAACCTAACTTTCTAGAAAAATAATTATAAAAAAATTCCAAACTAAGGATGGATCAATTGGTCTTGGCGCTGCTGTGGCCTCCTGGGAGGTCTTACCAAACGGGTGTTCACGAGTTCAACATCATTGACAAACCTGTCCAACGTTATTATCCTGTAATTATCCAGCATATGCGAAACTCGAAGACTATGCGTTAAGGATAATTAGTAAGACGTCTCGAGCAAATCAAAGACCTAATTAATACATTACAGAAATAAATGAAAAAAAAAAAAAAAACTCGACAGTGTGACAAAAGAGGCTGTGTCAGTTATTGGGGAGGGACATCCTACTCATAATCTCCTAAGACATGATAATCTTGTAACCATGTAAGACATGATGTCACAATCTTATGGCAGAGGAATGAGGAGGCAAAAAGGGATAATAAAACAAAGGGAACGTCTGTAGCTTTTATGTGACTGCTGGTTTGTTGAGGCAGCTCTAACTCTTAGGCCAGCCTATTGAATCGGGTTTAAATCGGTTTGTAATTAATTCAAATACAATTAAAAAAATTAATCCAAATTATTTAATTTCATCATAAACTTTGATATATCCAAATTTAAATTTACAAATTCAATTTTGAAACTAAATTATCAATAAAAAATATAAATCCACATCTACTTGATTGAATTTAAGTTCAGGTCAAAATCGAATCGAATTACTTTTTGGATGCTCGTCGGCTGCTTTAGAGTGCCAGTGAATTTAGGTCATCAAATTTGATTTCAGAAAGAAAAGAAACAAACATTCAGAAGAGAAGATCTTTCGAGAGAATTAGTAACTCAATTCAGTAGAATTTTGCATTGCGTCTTTCTAATAAGTTTCCACAAGTCCCCATCTTAAACTCACCACTGCTGCCTATGTCAAGGACCAGTATAAAATCAAAGACAAAGCAAGCATCTCTCCCTCCCCCTCCCCCTCCCCCAATTTTTTTTTTAAGAAATTGATATGAACAAAATTAAAAATAAAAAAATAAAAGTTAACAACATAATCCTTGTAATTGAGCAAAAACAACAACAATGATACTAATAAAATTAAAAATTTGTCTGCGACATAATTGATAATAACAACATGATAAATAATATCATAACATACGCAACAAAAGATTCGATGCTGATAGGCTCATGTAAAGTAGAAACTTGTCTTTCATCTATAAATAAACGTAACGGGTTTAGCGGGGTAGGTATGGGGCGGGGATAAATTTCGGTCCATTCTCGTATAAATTTATACGGGTATTTTCATATACGTTCACCGTTTAATATATATGTGTCATCCTCAATTTAAACGAAACAAGTTTATACAAATTCTTATTTTTTTCGGGTCTACTGTCGTCTCTAAGAACTACTAATAAATCTCACTAGTGTCAAATTTATATTGTGTCTTACTCATGTCAAAATTTTAACAATTTATACGCAATTCATTCATAATTATATAATATTATACACATTTCTTTCCATGTTATGTATAAGACATATTTAACGGATTTGTATTGTATTAGCATAATTTTTTTGTGTGTTATTTAATTATTTAATAGATGTAGTAAGTTACTATATTCACAATCCGAATCTGTTAAAGTTAAATTTTAATTTTTTATTAATNGCAGTATCCAACTCATTACACCATGTAAGATGCATCCATATCTGTAAGTCCATTCTCATGCCATCCTGACCCAGCCTTGAATTTACAAACAGGGCATGTCCCCTGCTGCCGGAGCCACGGGTCAATGCAATTAGCATGGAACTGCAAAATACACGGATTATTAAGGTAACAATATTATGACATGCCTTTTAATACAAACATTATTTTCAATTAAAAAAAAAAAATCCTTTTCTACTTTATTTTATTTTTTTTGCAAGGTCAATATGCCGATATGGTATGAACATCGTTATACCTCCACACTTTTTCTATATAGGGTGGGGGTGATGCGGTTTTGACCATGTAAATAAAAAGACAAACCCATAAAATTGAACTTTATAAAAACTATTTCAGCTCACTTATTCTCAAGGGAAGATCTGAAATTACCTCAGGATTGTTGGCAGATTTATCACAGAATAATTAACTGGTGAATGCATTAACAAGAAGAAAACTAGTTCATATCCATTCAAACATAAGCCACATGTACTTACGTCTACAGATTTAGTTATTTGTAGCACAGCTATTCAAGGAGTATCTGCTAGCATATATCTAACGAAATGCGCCCCCCCGCAACAAAAAAAAAAAAGGACTAGACTAGCAATAGTTGGATCACATAATAAGGCCTTGTACAGTTGGACGGATTCTTTGTGGTGCATATGTAAAACAAATGTCAATATGCAACTACTTTCTACTGCCAGAAAATGAATGTTCAAAAAGACGAGATAAGAGTAAAAATCACTGCAAGAGAGAGAACAAACCTGATGCAAGCATGGCAAGCTACGGATAAGTTCTCCCACATTAACTTGCTCCAAGCAAACACTGCAAGTCAGATCATCGTCCGAGGCTTTTATGCTCCCATTGATAGTCTCTTGCTTCTTCTGCTTAAATAAAAAAAGAAGGGAAAGAGCAAATAATGGCACTTTCCAGTTATGAAACAACAAAGTAGGAAGCAAAATAAAAGAGCACGTCACATGCAAATACATAATTTTGAGTCTCGTGGCACAGTGGAACAACTGCCAGACATCCCAAAACTGCTCAGCACAGCACTAAAAGACACAATTCAGTTGTGCCACAAGTGTTGCCTAAGGGCCACCAGCAAATAAGTACCACATGGATGCCTCATCGGCTATGAATATATAACAATAATCTACATAAATACATATGATGCAATTCAAATTAGGGTAATGCATCCGACACAATGCAACCAAGTTATAAACTAAGACAAACATACTATTATCTCTAAGAGCCCCATATATCTAGAATCAGACTTTGACACAAAGAGACATGTTCCAAATATTGCATAAAAAATCTCTACATGCAATAGACTGGAAAAAGTTTATTCTACATTTGGGGCCACATATTCCGTCAATTTGTTTACAACAAGCCAGCTTGTGTGGTACACCCCACTGGCACAATCATCCAAGGTATACAAATCTGGGCCATACCAAGTGAGTCATAGTACCATTCAATGCACTGCTGGAAATAGAATGATCAATTCCTTTGATTCTGCCTACTTATGGTGATTAATATATTTCTCATAGATAGGGGGCAGAATGTTATTATCTACTTGCTTAAACTTGCAAAGAGCCTATCATCCTTCTTTTTTCTTCCCTCTGCTGATACAAATAAGAACTTACGATGCAACAAATGCAAAGATGACCTCAACATAACTTCAAATCACTCGAGCTAGTGGAACTAGAGTTCATTCAATATTTAACCTTACGTAAAATTTGCAATGATTCCTTACAGAACATCTCAAGAATAGAACATCTGACAATCCGTCCATAGATATGTGGTTTCAAAGATGATGAACTACTACAAAAAACTGACATGCTTGGAACTTCTCTATTACATATGTTTCAAATGAATTAATGAGACAGCTACTATTTCTACCACAGAACCCTAATCGATACCTCAATTTTAATAGCAGTTACATTGTAAATATTGGAAATTTTAGTCTATCGGGTCCACCCCAAACTAAAATACATAATATAGTTCAACAAGTCATTAAACATAGAAAACAGTAACATCACACATATTCAATATGAAAGAATTTTGGTGCAGAATGACCTTTCAACTTGTAATAAAAGCGTGGTCATAATTTGAAATTAAACCCATAACAGGTAAACAGAACTCGTGTGATGCAGACTGATCATGCCTCATGCACAATATAGGAAGAAAAATATATGCGTAATTGACTATATCCGAATGATAGGGATGAAATAACTTAGAAATAGCTTTTAGACAAATAGCTTTGCTAAAACATCATTTGATAGTTGACTCATTTTAGAGCACCAAAAAAGGAAGAAAGAATACCTCAGCTATCGCTGAAGATGAAGCCTGGTGCATTGGTGAGCCAGTACTGTTAAGAAAACCAGCACAAAGATACATTATGCCCAAGGAGATTGTACACAACTGTATAGGTGCATTATATATTGATTCCTAAACCTAGACAAAACTACTATACACACCAATTGCTGCTTAGAAAATAGTAAAAATTGAAGTCGAGTCCTCCTTAAGGAACTTATAATGACTTGAGTCCATTAAGGACACTTATTTGGTTATAAGTCCATTTTTTATCTTACTAATAAGTAATTAAGTCCAAATTTTTTTGAAACCTCTAAAACACCCATCATATAATGTTTCAAATTTCAATAGTATTAAATGTTAATTTTGCTTCCTAATTGGGAAACGCTTAGATTCTTTATCCCTTAATTCTACCATTAATTCAAGTTTATAAATTTTTTTTCATAAAATTTGAAATTNTTTTTATCTTACTAATAAGTAATTAAGTCCAAATTTTTTTGAAACCTCTAAAACACCCATCATATAATGTTTCAATAGTATTAAATGTTAATTTTGCTTCCTAATTGGGAAACGCTTAGATTCTTTACCCCTTAATTCTACCATTAATTCAAGTTTATAAATTTTTTTTCATAAAATTTGAAATTCAAATTCAAGAGTTCATTTTCTTGTTCTTGCCAATAGAAAACCTAGAAGGAATCTTCTTCCCCATGCCGCAAGCCGTCATATTATTCAAATTCATCCCTGTTGAAATGTTACGGTCACAGTGGTAATGCTCAAATCCTTTGATTTGAGCAACAGAGTCACCAATGCCACATGGCATGAGTCCATGGCCAGCAAAGAAAATCCAGTGGCCGAGCAGTCGAAGTTGACATCATTCACCAAATCCTTGATGGCCTTCATAACTTTTTTTGAGAGACTTGTTCAGTGGAACCAACACACCACTTCCACCAGAATCATCTTTTCTCTCTCTCTCTTTATATATATATATATATATATTTACCATGTTACTATTTTTGTGAACATATTACTGTTTTTATTGATCATATTACTATTGCTATTTTCTCAAATATTAATACTCAATGTTATTATTTTTTTATTTTTGAATATTATTATTTTTTTATGTTTAAATGTTACTACTTTTTTGTGTTTAAATAGTACTATTTTTTACGTTTAAATGTTATTATATGTATGTATGTATATATGTGTGTGTGTGTGTGTGTGTGTGTATATATGTATATGAGAGAGGAATAAATAGTCTTATTCTATATATGGATNTAGACAAATAGCTTTGCTAAAACATCATTTGATAGTTGACTCATTTTAGAGCACCAATAAAGGAAGAAAGAATACCTCAGCTATCGCTGAAGATGAAGCCTGGTGCATTGGTGAGCCAGTACTGTTAAGAAAACCAGCACAAAGATACATTATGCCCAAGGAGATTGTACACAACTGTATAGGTGCATTATATATTGATTCCTAAACCTAGACAAAACTACTATACACACCAATTGCTGCTTAGAAAATAGTAAAAATTGAAGTCGAGTCCTCCTTAAGGAACTTATAATGACTTGAGTCCATTAAGGACACTTATTTGGTTATAAGTCCATATTTTATCTTACTAATAAGTAATTAAGTCCAAATTTTTTTGAAACCTCTAAAACACCCATCATATAATGTTTCAAATTTCAATAGTATTAAATGTTAATTTTGCTTCCTAATTGGGAAACGCTTAGATTCTTTATCCCTTAATTCTACCATTAATTCAAGTTTATAAATTTTTTTTCATAAAATTTGAAATTCAAATTCAAGAGTTCATTTTCTTGTTCTTGCCAATAGAAAACCTAGAAGGAATCTTCTTCCCCATGCCGCAAGCCGTCATATTATTCAAATTCATCCCTGTTGAAATGTTACGGTCACAGTGGTAATGCTCAAATCCTTTGATTTGAGCAACAGAGTCACCAATGCCACATGGCATGAGTCCATGGCCAGCAAAGAAAATCCAGTGGCCGAGCAGTCGAAGTTGACATCATTCACCAAATCCTTGATGGCCTTCATAACTTTTTTTGAGAGACTTGTTCAGTGGAACCAACACACNAAACGCCACAAGGCTCATGTAGTAGTTTGGGAGATGTTATTTTATCATCGTGGAATAAGTGCTAACAGTCCTCTGCACATGCATCCCACTCGGACATAGAGATAAACCAAAAACCAAAAACGATTTCGACATAACAAGTGCATGTATGACACGAACAAAAGGGGAATCAATTGAAAAAAAGATGAAATTGAAACTTATTCAAAATCTCTAAAAGCCTCACTTTGATACCATGTTACAACATATTGGAACACCCTAAAAAGCAACGATACAGATATGAATACGGGAAGTTGGAAACTATACAATATGGACACATCAATACAGAAANTATATATATATATATATATTTACCATGTTACTATTTTTGTGAACATATTACTGTTTTTATTGATCATATTACTATTGCTATTTTCTCAAATATTAATACTCAATGTTATTATTTTTTTATTTTTGAATATTATTATTTTTTTATGTTTAAATGTTACTACTTTTTTGTGTTTAAATAGTACTATTTTTTACGTTTAAATGTTATTATATGTATGTATGTATATATGTGTGTGTGTGTGTGTGTGTGTGTGTGTGTGTATATATGTATATGAGAGAGGAATAAATAGTCTTATTCTATATATGGATATAGATAGACATGAGAGAGAGAATTTTAATGTTAGTCAAACTCTTAATTAGTTTTCAAATTTGTTTTAATTAAATATAACTACTAAGGGTATTTTGAACAATGGAGAGCAAAATGGACCGAATATTAAACAAGTTTTCTTGATGGACTTATCACTAAATAAGTCCACAAAGGGGGACCGGCCTCCAAATTTCCTTAGAAAATATTATGTTTAGATTACATCCAGAGCTTATGGGACAACACTTATGTAGTTTTAAGATTCACTCTGCCTTCTTAACTTTTTGTTTAGTTGTCGCATGAAAATTACACTTCCTGCAAGCTCCTCAAGATTTTGATTAATCCAAAGAGATCAAAAAGAAGTTAAGCAAATTATACACCAAAAGAAAATCTGATGCTGCCTGGGTTTCAAGACAATGAGACACTCTGCATGCACCATGGTAAGGAGCAAATACATAGACCAACAAAATGAAATGATTTTGGAGCCTCTCTCTCTCTCTCTCTCTCACACACACACACACACACACACACACACATGGAAGCCTGCATGCGCATGTGAGAGGCCATGATAAATATAGACTCGGTACAACCATTGCGGATGGTATGCCTTTGCTGTAAGAGGAAAATGGTTTGCATGAACTTTTGCCCGGGCAATTACACTTCATTGTTTTGGTTCCCCTAGGATTCTTTACACTGTCACATTGGGGAACAAAAATTAAAATTCCACAATAAGGCCAAAAAAAATGGTTTTTTATTTCAAAAAGTAACAAAAAAACTGAATCTTGATCGATGCAACCTTGCATGTCATGTAGGTTGATTGAAGCATACTTTTTCTTGCAGAAAAGCTTCAAAATTTCTAATAATATAATCATCTAAATAGAAATAAACACCGCAATAATCAATTTAAGAGAGAGAATAAATTCATGGGTGACAAAAGGATTAAGATGGGGATAAGAAAAATGGCCTATGCTGCAAATGGAATTAACCAGACAAAAAGTTGAATGAAATGGACAACGAACTGAAAAACATGTCAACATTTTAAGCTTCCAAAAGTAGAAGAAAAACAATTCATAATTGTCTGCAATTCAATGATGATGTGCGGTACACTCCAGCATAAAAAAAGAATAGAAATGCACTCAATCCTGCTGCATAGCTTTGCAGGAACAAATGAAAGCACTACCAAAAAATATAGATAACAAGCAAACCCTCATAACTAACCTTTGAGGGCCAGCAACCTTGTATTTATGAACTGGAAGAGAATTTATCTCTTCCTCAGTCATTGAAGTAGCTGTGGGAACATTATCGGCATCCAGTGCTCTCAAAGTTTCATAATCTGCTTGTAAAAGTAGATTACAATTATAAACTCCTTTCTAACTGTACATGCTAGGGACATTCAAAACAAAATCAATTGGCAATGGGTGGATAGGAAACGCCACAAGGCTCATGTAGTAGTTTGGGAGATGTTATTTTATCATCGTGGAATAAGTGCTAACAGTCCTCTGCACATGCAATCCCACTCGGACATAGAGATAAACCAAAAACCAAAAACCAAAAACGAATTCGACATAACAAGTGCATGTATGACACGAACAAAAGGGGAATCAATTGAAAAAAAGATGAAATTGAAACTTATTCAAAATCTCTAAAAGCCTCACTTTGATACCATGTTACAACATATTGGAACACCCTAAAAAGCAACGATACAGATATGAATACGGGAAGTTGGAAACTATACAATATGGACACATCAATACAGAAAAACCTCAAATATTAGGATACAGATCGGGATAGGGTACGTCTATAATAAAACATATTTATTATTCTTACTTTGTTTGCGATTGGTTAATCATAATTCTTAGTAAATTCTTTAATAGAAATTAAAAAATAAACAATTTACTTTCAAAGAAGCATAGATTGTCTTAGGGCACTATCTATCTGGTAGTCTTATCCTGTGCCACAATAGAACGATATCTCACACCTCCCAAAGAAAAATATTTTGGCACTATCTGTCTGGTAGTCAACAAGCAAACATGATTAACAAATTAGGAAAAAGAGAACAAGATTTTATATCCATAATCTGGGTAAACTGCACCAGATAAGATTTCCATACATCATACCTAAATCATCAAATTCCCGGTCAAGAAGTGCAAGTTGGAGCCTAAGACCTTGCAATCGACCTCTTGTTGCAAGTGTTATGGATGGTGGCATATGCAACCGCAACTCAGTGTGACCAAGAAGGCCACTTGCTGCAACTGCATGAGCTTGGGCCTGTGCTTGCAGTTGCTGACAAGTTGCATACATCCTAAGGCTTGTTGCCATCAAAAAGACACCAAGTACCAGCCAGAGCTACAAACATAGATTTGGGCAAAAGCCTGTTAAATTGCTTATGTAATAAATACTATTTCACAATATTAGCTAGAAGATTGATTTGCAGGAATGCCATATTTGTTAAGAGAATACCAGAAAATTAGGTGACAATTGGTGTGAGTTTAGGATCATGAACAGCAACAGAACTGTTAAATCAAACAAAGAATTACAAGTTGTAGTATATGGGAACAAAAAATTTTTGTAACAAAAGCACAATAAAGACCAAAAGTTAAGGAAGTACTGGAATTCTAGCGTACCTGTGACTAGAAAAGCAAGTGAGTTGGTATTAACTGGTCGAGCTGCATGAACACGCTGATGGAAAGCAGAAACATAACATACATATTATTAGATTAACTGAAAGACTATAAAAACGAATTCCAGAGCATCGTAGACTGAAAACATATACAATATCATAAGTAATGTTACAGAAGATTAGGAAAACACCACAGCACGCCTCTCAGGAATAAATCCTGGAAATCCAGATTCTACATCTGCTCTAGTCCCTCGGAAAACAAAGCTCATGGTTTTCGAGTGTTACAGATATTTTAACAGTAAAAAAAATTATCTCAGAAGGTCCCAGGGAAATTAATCCGCTCCTACATAAATCAATAATCTGCACAGTCAAAAAAGAAGGAAATGAGTAAGATATTAGGACCATAGCTCCCTACAGCATCATATCTGAAGCTAGGAATCACGGATACGGATACGAGATACNGTACATAAATCAATAATCTGCAGAGTCAAAAAAGAAGGAAATGAGTAAGATATTAGGACCGTAGCTCCCTACAGCATCATATCTGAAGCTAGGAATCACGGATACGGATACGAGATACAAATACGATATGATACGAATACACCAAAATATTAAAAAATAGGATACGAGTACGGCCAAAATACATCTATAAAAACCTATATCTTACATTTATACTATTATGTAATGACTTGATAGCTATAATTTTTAATGATTCTGTAATAATAATAAACAACATTAACAATTTCTATTTAAAAAAATCCACATATTGTCACACTATAGTACATCTACAAAATGAACTTGATTAATTAAATGAATAAGAACTAACATTTAACTAGATTATTTGTTTAAAAGAGTTTGTTGCGAAGATTATAGTATAATCAACTCATTGATACTCTTTGAACATGTGATAATGAATAATACTTGGAAAACATTCATGTGTCTTCAAAGTCAAATGGATTGTTGTTGTGTATTGCATTATTTGTGAAAATCAAAAGACATGAGTAAAGATTAAAACTAAAAATTACACATACTTGTATGNGTGATTAATTAAATGAATAAGAACCAACATTTAACTAGATTATTTGTTTAACAGAGTTTGTTGCGAAGATTATAGTATAATCAACTCATTGATACTCTTTGAACATGTGATAATGAATAATACTTGGAAAACATTCATGTGTCTTCAAAGTCAAATGGATTGTTGTTGTGTATTGCATTATTTGTGAAAATCAAAAGACATGAGTAAAGATTAAAACTAAAAATTACACATACTTGTATGTATATAGAAGTATCGGCGAATATCCACATATTTTATTTATTTTTGAATACGTTTAGTGTGTATTCGATACGTATCATCGAATATCCAACGAGTATTGTATCCAATACAGTATCCGATATGGATACGTCGACCTTAACAAAGTATCCGTGCTTTATAGATCTGAAGGTAAGAGAAATTGGTAAGTGATATGCTATAAGAGACATCTTTCCTTGTAAATATGAAAGAAGTAAACATTGTATCTGCACAATCATTTGCAATGCCCATTAACTACACCCTTGAGAGCACCAGAAATTAAAACTGTCTCCCATTTTAATCCATCGTGTTAAATCTTAGAAGTCTAATGGCTATAAAGACTCAAAACAAAATCTGAAACAAAAAAGGACAGTTGGCAACCCTACTCAAGGAAATGTACACATAACAGGGGTAAAATAATGAACATAATAATCCTTAGCAATGTGGTAGCTCTTCCCCTTAGTTTTCCACAAGAGGGTAAAATCTTTCAATAAGACTCATAAATAGAAAAGTTAAAATCATATACCAAGACGCCCCCAGACCCGAGACTTAATTGACAGTGATAGTATATCTTAAAAAAATTTAATTGCAAAAAGGATGAACATGCAATACACTACGCACAACCGATCCCACTATCCTCTTGACATTCTATAAACCAACAATGAGTTTTAACTTCACCAACTCAATTGCCATTTCAATTCACTTTTGGGAACTCTTGCTCAGGCCTTGGGACATAGGAGGCAGCACACCACCTAATAGTTATTAACTGAATCATCAGCCATTACACCTTTTCTCACTAATCCAATCAGGACTTGTTAGTGGTGTATTGTTGGTCTTTGTAGCATACACTTAAACAAACAAACAAACCCGTGCACACATGAACACACTGTGGAAGTGGAAAAATGGCAATATTTATCAATGAGGTCAATTTCTCTATGCTATAAATGGGGTAATAAGAAAGTCAATGCAAAAAAAATTTAAAAAATGGATGCCTCCGTAATGACATGGGCACGTTGAAATCAAACANAAACCCGTGCACACACGAACACACTGTGGAAGTGGAAAAATGGCAATATTTATCAATGAGGTCAATTTCTCTANTATCCACATATTTTATTTATTTTTGAATACGTTTAGTGTGTATTCGATACGTATCATCGAATATCCGACGAGTATTGTATCCAATACAGTATCCGATATGGATACGTTGACCTTAACAAAGTATCCGTGCTTTACAGATCTGAAGGTAAGAGAAATTGGTAAGTGATATGCTATAAGAGACATCTTTCCTTGTAAATATGAAAGAAGTAAACATTGTATCTGCACAATCATTTGCAATGCCCATTAACTACACCCTTGAGAGCACCAGAAATTAAAACTGTCTCCCATTTTAATCCATCGTGTTAAATCTTAGAAGTCTAATGGCTATAAAGACTCAAAACAAAATCTGAAACAAAAAAGGACAGTTGGCAACCCTACTCAAGGAAATGTACACATAACAGGGGTAAAATAATGAACATAATAATCCTTAGCAATGTGGTAGCTCTTCCCCTTAGTTTTCCACAAGAGGGTAAAATCTTTCAATAAGACTCATAAATAGAAAAGTTAAAATCATATACCAAGACGCCCCCAGACCCGAGACTTAATTGACAGTGATAGTATATCTTAAAAAAAATTAATTGCAAAAAGGATGAACATGCAATACACTACGCACAACCGATCCCACTATCCTCTTGACATTCTATAAACCAACAATGAGTTTTAACTTCACCAACTCAATTGCCATTTCAATTCACTTTTGGGAACTCTTGCTCAGGCCTTGGGACATAGGAGGCAGCACACCACCTAATAGTTATTAACTGAATCATCAGCCATTACACCTTTTCTCACTAATCCAATCAGGACTTGTTAGTGGTGTATTGTTGGTCTTTGTAGCATACACTTAAACAAACAAACAAACCCGTGCACACACGAACACACTGTGGAAGTGGAAAAATGGCAATATTTATCAATGAGGTCAATTTCTCTATGCTATAAATGGGGTAATAAGAAAGTCAATGCAAAAAAAATTTAAAAAATGGATGCCTCCGTAATGACATGGGCACGTTGAAATCAAACACAACTAAGAGCTTCGTTGAAAAAAAATAAATTCAAGAGCATTTAAGAGGGTATAATAATCATTAGTTCCACTGAGAATGTGTTGGGCAATAAGAGCGTTCAGGCAAATAAGANCGAAAAAAAATAAATTCAAGAGCATTTAAGAGGGTATCCTAATCATTAGTTCCACTGAGAATGTGTTGGGCAATAAGAGCGTTCAGGCAAATAAGACCTGCCATGGTGTGTCAACCAAAGGTACTTGATTCATTTCAAAGAGTCTATGACTCTGTTTGACATGATTTGGAGGACATTCAATACCTTTGATAGCTACAAAAGGATCACTAAAATGGCAGTAAACAGTATATTAACATTAATACTCTATAAACCATATTACTAAAAAATGTAGAAAGTTACATAACGAGAGCCTCAGGCCAATATTTAAGCAACCACTCGCATTAATTCAGACTTAATGCAACAAAAAAAATTAGGAAAAAAGGGGTGGTTTAGTGCACGAGACTCCCAAAATCACATACTTGTCCAATAGATAGGGTTCGCTATTTTGACTACGTTTTCCACGAATTGGACATCTGGTAATGCACAACCACCCTGTCGGTGGGAACCTAATCGTGGTAGCAGCTCTCAAACCAAGTCTTACTATCAATGTTCACTACAGTGCTGTTGCAGATCAGCTAAACAAAACTTCACCAAGTAGATACTAGATTCTCATAACCAGTATCTCAAGGCCAATTCCAAATTTGGATAAACACTTAAATATTGTCAAGCAATGAAGCCAGCAGCATAATCTCATAAACATTCACCAATATTTCAAGATATTTAAAAAATGATTCATTCCTATCAATCTTTGCAAAACCGCAAGGAAGACTAGATTAGCTTTTTCCACAATAATAACCACCCAAAGATTACCATATGTCATTTTCAGCCATTCTTTATCTCCTGGATCTTGTTCCATTGACCATAACAATTAATACATTTTATCCATCAAGAAAACAAGTTACACATTTGATTATCGTATCTTAAAAAACAAATCGAATAATACCATGACACAGGAAGCCGATTCATATATTGAATTTTTGCTCATTTGGACATCCCTGATTTATAGACATCAATGTACAACGAAAAACAGAATAAATAAACCATTCCGGAGGAAAGGGAAGGCATACCAAGCTGATTAACCACATTGTTCCAGTATTTTACAATAAACCATAAAAGAGGGCTTTTATTTCCTGAGATGAGATCAAAAGCTACACTGGCGCTAAGAGGGAAAAAAACTTTCTATTATTTTTTGCAACAAATTCAGAAGTGCCCTTGTAGCTCACCTAATAAAACTGTCACTTAATTCTAGATTGAGACCAATACAAACAGGGAAAAGAAGAAAATACCGCCATAGTTGCACAAATTCCACCTATTTCAAATCATGATTTAAACAAGTACTCCTAGCTATACCCCCCCCCCCCCCCACTTTTTTTTNCACAAATTCCCCCCATTTCCAAACCTTATTTAAAAAAGTACCCCCAAGCATACCCCCCCCCCCCCCCTAACTTTTATCAGGTGACAAACAAAACAAAATTTTCCCAAGGAAAATAAATTTTCATACAATCTTCAGCAGATCATTCAAAGATAAGCCATCCTCTCTGACATAACTTGGTTTACAAAATTAATACAGAAAACCCTAATTTATGTAGTTTCAACGCGCAATACTTACAAGCTGATACAACTTTTTGCGCGTAGATATACACATAATTCAAGATGAGAAGAAGAGAGGGGAGGATCACTTACGGAGATAAATAAGAACCATGGATCAAAGACTAGTTATGGTGTATGAATGAGCTTCACGCTGTTTATGTTACCAAAATTCGATCT